AAGTCTTAAAACTTCCTTCTCAAAGCCTAATAAAATGAGTAACAATGAATAAAAGGGAAAGCTGGGGGACTTATAATTCTAGCTGAGATGGAGTAAGGACACTGCAGGCTAACTCTCCCATGATTACAACAAATCGTCTGGATCAAAGTACAAAAAGCAGATACCTAAGGCCCCTGAAAAGTGAATACAGTAATAGCAGGTGAATTTGGGGAGAGAAAACAGTAATTAATGAATAACCAATATAGTAACAGTGAGTTTCATGGTTATTTCTCCTCTTCGTACTCTGGGTTTGACCCAAGGGCAGGCTAAACAGGGGAACTGTCTATTGACAGGGTCAACAAAGACAGACAGAAGCCCATCTCTGTGGCCTGAGCACCAGCTCAAAGAAAGGCCCCTATAAGCTGAAGAGCATGGGGGAGAATCCTTGTTTGTTTTAGTTTTTCTGTTTACTTTCCGGTCCTGCCCTGAGGCCAGCCCCAATTGTGAAACAACTTTACTGTGGTCTGAGCAGTGTTGCAGACACCTAAAAACTGTGAGATAAAACCTGTCCCTGAGGAAAGGGAACCTTTGTGTGAAGAGTGGGGGGAAATTTTTTGGTCTTCTACTTCTGTGTCTTGAGGACCTACTTGCACAGAATTATGCAGATGCACAGGGAGCTAAAACTGAGAGAATCCCATATTCCTGACTAGAAGAACTGGGAAAAGGAGTCCTTGAGAGACAGAGTGTGGGAGCAGTGACGTGCACGAAAGATCAGGCAGAACTTGTCGTCTGAAGCTAACTGGGTGGATTGCTTGCTGAAACAAAAGGCAACATTCCTCAGAGACTTTTAACAGGACCCAGTCTCCTGACAATATTAAAAATGTCCAGCTATAATCCAGTATTAGTCAACCAGGAAAGACTGACCAATTCTCAAGAGAAAAGGTAATCAGTAGATGCCAACCCCCAAATTACCTAGATTTGGGGGTAAAAACTTGAAAGCAGCTAGTGCAGCCATGCTCCATAAAGGTGAACACTCTTGAGATGAATAGAAAGTAATTCTTAGCAGAGTTATATGTAAAAAGAACTAAATGAAAATTTTAGAAATGACAAAGTAGAATATGTGAAATAAAATTCATTGACTGGCCTCAATAACAGAATGGCTTTGTCAGAGGAAAGGGTCCATGAGCTTGAAGATAATTCAGTGAAATAGTCCCAACTGAGAACAGAGAGGAAAAAGTAAAATAAGCCTCCTATTTGCTTTTTGTTTTTTAAACATTTTATTGATTTCAGAGAGAAAGGAAGAGGGAGAGAGAGATAGAAACATCAGTGATGAGAGAGAATCGTTGATTGGCTGCCTCCTGCACGCCCCTCCCTGGGGATGGAGCCTGCAACCCAGGTACATGCCCTTTACCAGGATTGAACCTGGGACCCTTCAGTCCGCAGTCCAACGCTCTATCCACTGAGTCAAACCAGCTAGGATAGCCTCCTGTTTTTAAAAGCTCTTTTGCTGGGCATAGCATTCTGGATTGACAGGTTTGTTTGCTTTCTTTCACTCCTGTAAAGTTGTATTGATTGTTCTAGGGATCATTCTAGTATCATTTCTCTTCAGCCTGAAACACTTAATTTAATATTTCCTTAGAAATATTTCATTTAATAATTGTGACTGATACTCTTCGTTTACCTTCATCTAAGGAAGTCTTTATTTCACTTTCACTCCTAAAAAATATTTTTAGTAGCTATGGAATTCTGGGTTGTCAGTTTCTTTTGTTTTAGCATTAAAAAGATGGCGGTGTCCCATTCATTGTCTTCTGACATCTGTGTTTCCTGATGAAAAATCTACAGTATTTTCAGATAAGTTCCCCTATCTGTAATGTGTCATTTTTTCCTACTGCTTTCAAGAGTTTTATTTTTGGTTTTCAGAAGTTTTGCTAGGTACTTGGGTGTGGAATTCTTTGAGTTTGTTTTGTATATGATTCACTAAGTTGCTTGAAACCAGAAAGTTATGTCTTTCTCCAAATTTAGAAGTTTTCAAACATTATTTCTTCAAAAAATTTATTTTTGGCACTAATCTCTTTTCTCCTCTTCTTTAGATATTCCAATGACATTGATATATTCCCATAGGACATAAAATTAACATACAAAAATCAGTAGCCTTCATGTAAACAAACAACACACAGAACCCCACTACAACAACACATAAGATTAAACACTTAGGAATAATTTTGACAATAAATGCACAAAACTTATATGAAGTAAAAAAAATTTAAGCCCTGAAAGACTCAAAGTATACTTGAACAAATGTAAAGATACCTGCTGTTTTTGAGTAGGTCAACATTATAAAAATTTCAATCCTCCCTAAATTAATTTATAAATTCAGTGTAATCCCAGTAAAAAAAAAAGACTCTATTATGGAGTTAGAAAATTTGATACTAAAGTTCATGTGGAAAAGCAAGCAGGTTGGAGATAACTGGAAAAGGAAAACTATGAGGGAGGATTAATTCTTCCAGCCTGTAAATATTAAGGCCTGTAAAGTTAAAACAGTGTGGTGGTACTGACACATGAATAGACAAATACACCAATGGAATAAAACGTGTGATGACTTTGTCATGTTTCACCTCTGCCATGCTGATCTGTATTTTCCAGAATTCTCTGATACAACTGGAAAGTACAGCATTAAACCCAAATATACATGGAAATTTAGTATATGACAAAGGTGGCCTCTCTCTCTGTACTCACTGGGGTAAACTTGTATTTTTCAATACATGATGCTGGGACAACTGAATAGCCGCTTGGAAAAGTTAAAATCAGATCCATATTTTACATCATACACATGAATAAGCTCTAAATGGATAAGGAATATAAATTAAAAAGTAAAACCATGCAAGTACTAGAAGAAAACATGAGTGTATTCCTCTTTAATGATGGTGTAGGGCAGTGGTCGGCAAACTGCGGCTTGCGAGCCACATGCGGCTCTTTGGCCCTTTGAGTGTGGCTCTTCCACAAAATACCGACTTCCGCGCATGGGCCACGAAGTTTCAGTCGCACTGTACGTGCGCGCCCGCACGTGGTATTTTGTGGAAGAGCCACACTCAAGGGGCCAAAGAGCCGCATGTGGCTCGTGAGCCGCAGTTTGCCGACCACTGGTGTAGGGAAAGGCTTTGTTAATTATGACTAAAATTCCAGGGACAATGAAAGAAAAGATTGATAAATTTGATTATATAATTTTTAAAAAATTACATGGGAAAACCACTGTAAAATATAGGACGAATAAGGGGCTTGCATTGGTCCAAGTTGTGGTACCCAGTTATTCTTAATGTATTGCCATGGTGTTCTATTCAACATTGCCATGTATTTCATGGCAAAAGCGGCATGACAGTGGCTCAAGACTAGGAGATCCAATAGTTTTACCATGTTCTTCTTCCAGGAGCAGACACCCCAGTGCAGTGATGGGATAGCCTTCTGAATACTCACTGAGGTAGTAAGCTGCAGATAGGGCCCTGTTAGGTTGGGGAATTCTCTTCCAGGATGCAGGCCAGGCTATGGTACTGTCACCAATAGATACATTTGGTTACTTAAAAATATATAGATATCTAAAATTGAAAAATAATCTGCCAATCGGAAAGATTCTCAAGTTATGTTATTAAGTAATAAAGGAAGGTACCAGAAGAGTGGGGACCCCATTAGCATGCATTTTAATAAGTCTCTGTGGTTTTCCATATATTTTTAAAACTGTGGTACTATAGGCTAGGGTGCATGAGGGGAGTCTTAGACTTGATATTTTTTACCTTTATGAATATTTTGAAAGTGTATCTGTTACATAAATGAAATACTTTTATAATTGAAAAAAGAATGAAATTGAAGGACTAACAGTTATTCACAACTTTCTCTTCTTGGTGTCCTAATGGAGTACGTTGGAGGTGTGGCCATGAGGGGAGCTGAGCAAGGGAGATGGGTAGTCATGTTAGGGGTAGTGTCAGTGCACGAGGATGAGTGAAGGAAGGGTAATAGGGTGAATAACATAAAAGCCAAACACCTCTTTAAAGTATAAACATAGAATTTAGTAGCTCAGTCCACACTACTCTGGCCTGTTTTTAAAATGAGGCAGAAAAGTCTGAAGTCATTGACAATTGTTATTTTAGAAAGCCATGGCTGGAGAGAGTGACCTCATCATTTCAGTCAGTTTCTTTAATTATTTTTTTAAGTTTTTCATTTATTTGAGAGAGAGAAATAAAAGAAACATTGACTTGTTGTTCCACTTGTTTGTACATTCATTGGTCAATTCTTTTGTATGTGCCCTGACCAGGTATTAAACCTGCATCCTTCATGTATCAGGACGATGCTCTAACCAACTGAGCTACCCACGGTGTCAGTGTCACCTCTGCCATGTCAGGGCCAGTGTCTTTTAAAGAGTTACGTCTGATAATGGTGGGTTTTTAGGATTTGGGGAGATTTCAGCCCAGGGCTCTGAATACTATCTCATCTTTATTTTTTATTTAAAAAATACTGATTTCAGAGAGGAAGGGAGAGGGAGAGAGAGAGAGAAACATCAATACCAATGATGAGAGAGAATCATTGATTGGCTGCCTACTGCATGCACCACACTGGGGATCGAGCCTGTAATCCGGGCATATGCCCTGACCAGGAATCAAACCGTGACGTCCTGGTTCATAGGTCAGTGCTGAACCACTGAGCCATGCCGGCTGAGCATCTTTATTTTTTTTATGCCAATTGTCAGTATCTAAAATATGGTTCATGTGGTTATTATCTCTCTGCTACCGCTAGAATATAAGCTCCATGAAGGCAAAGACTTTGTTTAGCTCGCTGCTGTATTAAGATTTAGAACAGTCTTCTACCCAATAATTTTAATGTTTATCCAAAGAAGACACTCAATAAATATTTGTTGAATCAATAGCTGTGTTGAGATAGTTATGGGGATAAGTGGAATTAGCTAAGGCTGGACTCCACAAGAGGGAAGACTTGACTCTAATTGATTTCACAGTAACTAATTTGATTTTTCTTAGTCTCACCAAGGACATGACAGGAAAGGAAGATGTGTACCGAGGCCCGGCCATCAGGGCTCTCTGCAGAATCACTGACGTAAGTTCTCCTTGTTTTGCTGGGGTGTTGAGCGGGAGGGCGGGGGGCGGTGTGTGGTGGTGGTGTCACTCTGTTTATCTGCAGGAGGCCATGTAATTGAGTAGGATTCCCTAGTCTGACTCTGTGAATCTTCAGTACAGGCACACCACCTCGTTTTACTGTGCTTCACAGATACTGCATTTTTTTTTTTAGACATAATGCTATTCTTACACACTTAATGACTACAGTATAGTGTAAACATAACTTTTATATACTCTGGGAAACCAAGAGAATTCATGTGACTTGCTTTATTGTGATACTTGCATTATTGCGTGGCCTGGAACCTGCAGTATCTCCGAGATATGTCTGTGTAAGAGAAACAGGACCACCAGAAAGGCTTTTGTGGTTCCAGGCTTCTTTTCTTTCAAATGGTTTTTTCCTTTTGTTTGTTTAGCTTAATCTATTTCTTTCTCTGTTTGCCCTCATAGACTTTTGTTATAGCCAGGGCACATTGCTTACAGGAAACAAAAAAAATTTTAATTTAGCTTTAAAAAGAAGTGTTCTTACAAAATATAGAGTGCTCAGAATTTGAGGTAAAACTTAGAACCAGAAGCCAGCGCAAGAAAGGAACCCAGCGGCAAGATTTCTTAGATACTCACTGTTATGATCCATCGTTTGCCAGACTCAAGCCTCGTCATTCAAATAGTTCAGGAAGACAACCTGGTTAGTCATCAGCCAGCCCAGGAGCTTGTATACACCTGTATCTGACTCAGTCTGTTACATCTGGAGAGATGAGGGTTCATAGTGTGCTAGGATGTCCATTTCTTGGAACTGTGAGTAGGAAAGGTTAAAATGGAGGGCAGGCTGGGCATTGATAAACAAATTAAATAATATTTCAGGTATACTAATGCATGGGTATATGTTTGTAATCCTGTCAAGTTTTAAAACTTGAGCAGGATCAAATGGTAAATCTGGATTCTAGAAGGAATAATAGAAATGCTTTAATATTTTAATAAAACAGTTACTCAGCTATTTTATTGTGGTTATTTTTGTTTTTAGCATTAAATTGGTGACATAAGACTTGATGATACCAGTGCTAGCAAAAGGACTCTCTTCTAAAAAACTCTTTCAGTCTGTTTACGTATCTTCATGGGCCAGCACCTTTCCAGTGCTAAGCTTTCTTCCAGTTAAATTAAAAAGAACTTTATTTTCAGAGGATTTTGTATTGAGAGCTCACTATAGTAGTATATCAAACATTTAATTATGTATATAAAATAATCAGATTACACTTGACTTGTAAGACTCTCTGGGATCCATATAAAATAGATCCCCTTCACATAGAGCAGTGGTTCTCAACCTTCTGGCCCTTTAAATACAGTTCCTCATGTTGTGACCCAACCATAAAATTATTTTCGTGGCTACTTCATAACTGTAATGTTGCTACTGTTATGAATCGTAATGTAAATATCCGATGTGCAGGATGGTCTTAGGCGACCCCTGTGAAAGGATCGTTCTACTGCCAAAGGGGTCGCGACCCACAGGTTGAGAACCGCTGACATAGAGGAATTTTCAGGACTTCAAAAGCACCTTTCCTCCTCATCTAGGAGTTTCCTTTACAACATCCTTGGTAGGTTGAACCCTGCTTATGTGTTTCCTCAAACTGGAGCTCTCCACTTTGAGACAGTTTATTTCATTGTTGAATAGTTATTTGTCTTCCTTACATATAGATGTCCCTCCTTGAAGCTCCCACTGGGTTGTCTGGGTTCTGCTGGATGGGCTATGATTACTCTATTATATGCTAATCCTTTTTAATGCAGTCTAAGTATTTACACAGAAACTAATATATGACTGGTTTTCGTAAATTATTTTGAAGTGGTAATATAGTGTGAAAATGTTTTGCTTCAACAACTTTTCTCTCTGAATTTTATTAGGGAACATTGCTGCAGGCCATTGAAAGATACATGAAGCAGGCCATTGTGGATAGAGTCCCCAGTGTATCCAGCTCAGCATTGGTGTCTTCCTTAGTAAGTGAACAAGACAGTGGCTGCCTAGTTCTTATGCATGGTACAGTTTCTAGTTGCAAAAGCAAAGTGATTCTCTCACAAATGAAACATTTAAAAAATATGTGTATATCTCTGTTACTTTATCCAAGAATGTTTTGTCTGCCAGGGGAGCATTGAGCAATTAAAGTGGGCAGTTAAAAACATGAAATTGTCATGGGCTTGTAAGGTTTTGGTAATCAGAAAGTTATGTTTTACACATAATAAAGATGGGAGGTATGGGTCAGGGAAAGACAGGGAAGAAACTGAGGGTTGATCTCTCTTATTTTTTTTAAGAAAATTATTTATTTTAGGTGGGGAGGGGGGAGAGAGAGAGAGAGAGAGAGAGAGAGAGAGAGAGAGAGAAATTAATTTGAACCTGCAACCTTGGCCTAGAAGATGATGCTCTAACCCACTGAGCTACCCAGCCAAGGCTCTCAATCTCTTTTTTTTTAAATCTTCTGTTATGACCTGCACTTTTACCTCTTGCCTCTTGGTTCTCTACTTTCCTTGCTGCTCACAGTGTCCTTCAATCCAAAGTCTCCTGTCCCACTTCAAAAATTTTCTCCCAGGAAGTAGCCTATTCTTTCTCTTTTTTATCAAAACAAAATTTATTACTTACAATCTATCACACTGCATTTAACTAACATTGATTACTAATGTGTAAATGGATTCAATCATCTGAATCACAGGAGTTACCTGGTTCTGGAATATAATTGACCAAGAGAATATAGTGGTTCTCTGATTTTTTCTTCTAGGTGAGTTTCCTAGAAGTAGAACTTATAATGTTAACATTATTTAAGTACTATCCATCCCTTCCTGTCCCTCCCCTCTCCTTACTTCCTTTTACACATCTCTCTGGGCCTACAGGCATATGTTACTCGCCTTTCTAGGGAATCTTGGAGAAAGTACTTTTGGTTTTATTACTTGCCTCAGGAGTAGAGATTTGAAATAGACTTATGAAGCTACAAAGTTGTTTCTTTTCTTTTTTTTAAAAATGTCTTTTGGAAAAGAAACTCATGCTTCTAAACTTCCAGTGACCATGCCTTATCTATTCTCATTTTTTTCTGCCCTTAGCACCTGATGAAGATAAGCTATGATGTAGTTAAGCGCTGGGTCAATGAAGCCCAAGAAGCTGCTACAAGTGACAATATTATGGTCCAGGTATGGATATTGAATTATTTTAGCGTCTGTCTCAAGATCAGCTTTCTTTAACCCTACATTGTAGGGGCAATTTATTGATTCCAAAAAATGAGTGTTAGCTAAAGGCTAATATTAAGCAGCCTGTGAGTGCATATTCTCAAGTAGGTCTCCCACTAATTATGATTACTACCATAGGCCCTGCTAGCGTTCAATTGAAGCTGTAAGAAGGTTAGAGAAAGCTTCTCATATTCAGTAGCAGTTTGAGAGGCTCATTCCAAAGGTCCTTCACAGTGCATTTCAATCCTTTATTTGAAAAATAAATTGTGAAGAAGGATGTTCAATTCCAGGCTTTTCAGGCCTTGATTATAGTAAACATTATAACAACAGTAAAGAGTAATTTTTACATTGTGAAACTTTAGTACCATTTTGTTGGAAATATCTCCTTTTGATATTCATTAGGCTGTTCCTAATTAAAAGGAACAAGGTTAAATCCTTAACTGGCAATTTTATGTAAAGTACCCCATTTGTGTTTGAGAGGGTACTTATTTATCCCCTTTCTGTGTTTATAACTTCTCATGTTAGCATACTCAGTTATGAGGAAACACAGTAGTTATTTTTCTCATGGGAAATATTCTCACTCTCCTAATTCCATTATTGTGCCTTTACACAAAGTGCCGTGATAATATTCGTGCACTCCTAAAGCCTTCTTCAGGAGAGGTGATCTCTTAACTTCTGACATGGTCACAGGTGATTTAAAGCCACTCCAAGGCCTGCCACACTGGTCAAGCCATGGACCTGAGACCTTTGTACTAAGGATGAGTGGGGCAGGGCTGACCTGCCAGATGTACCCTCAGATTGTATGTTACCTTCTTAAGACTTCTCCAATCTAAATTTACACCTTCTGGGGATAAATTCGAAACTCGTATCCTTTCAGTCTTGCCTGTGTTTGATTCAAAGTGAAAAAGCTGTACTATCTGTATACTTTTGACTTGAGAATCTTTTTATTAAAAATCTAGTTCCATATGATTCTACTTTCATGTAATTTTGTCTTCTTTCTACTCAGTTTTATGTATGTTACGTTCTTTTTCTTTTTCTTTAGTATCATGCATTGGGAGTCCTGTATCACCTTAAAAAGAATGATCGCCTTGCTGTTTCTAAGATGTTAAATAAGTTTACAAAATCCGGTCTCAAATCACAATTTGCTTATTGCATGCTGATCCGAATTGCCAGTCGCTTACTAAAAGAAAATGAAGAGGGGTAAGTGTCTTTATCTAAACTTAAGTAATTTTTCCTTTGCTGGTAAATATGCCTCAGAATTTATTTCCTTAATGAATATTTTTTGGACATTGCTGACTTTACAGATTATATATGTTCTGAATTAAAAAAAAATCATGGAATTCCAAGTAACACAACTTCTAAAAAAATTTAATATATGCTCTGGTATATGTATTTAATAGATTATGATTATTAATAGTATAATAACAAATTGACCCTAAACAAAAAATCCTTAAATGTGGAAACTGGAAGTAACATTAAGAATCTTTTTTATCCCTTTTATTTTTATAAAAGAGACTATTGAAGTATTGTATTTCATTATTTATTTATTTAAATTATTTAAAGGGCAGGAGGGAGAAAAATAGGATTACATATGTAAGGTTCTTATATTGTTCATGAAGCAGTAGTATATTATTTGATGGTAGTCTGTGGTAACATAAGGATAAATACTGTGATCTCTTGAGTACCCACTAAAAACACCTGAAAGATATAATGTAAATGTTAACAGAGAAGATAAAATGGAATATCCAAAAACATTCAGTTGAGCTTCCTACAGTGGTGGAGTAGCTTGGTCATATTAGCCCTCTTGCAAATAATGATTATATAATCAGTATAAAACTATTACCCCCTCTCCCCAACTATTACCCCCTCTTCCCCCCCCCAAAACAAACAAACAAACAAACACACAAAAAAACAAGAAACCCCACAACTATTTGGAAGTTGGCCTGGTGATTCATGAAAAGGAGGCAAAAACTGGAGGGAAGTTGATGCCTGGACAACCGAAGCTATACTGGGTGAGATTTGGGTATTTCTGGGTAGTCTCCTAGGGCAGTTCCCAATTCTCAGGTGGGATCACAGGAAGGTATAGTATTTACTGGACAGAGGGGTCAGAACACAGTTTGAGATTAGAAGAGTGATGAAAACTTAGGGTGGAAAACCTGGAAAGGAGGGAACCACAAATGGGTGAGCCTCAAAATCAATTTTAATCTACAAAAATCCTTGGTTGGCCCATGAACTGTGCACATACAGGGGAAGACTCTAGGAAACCTGGCAAACAGTAGTAGCTCTGAGCTGAAAGAACTCAGTGGAGAATTCAGTTGCAGCTCACCATGGAGGAAATAAAGTTTGGAGTTTGAGCCAGGTTGACTGCCTGGTAGAGAAACATGCATTCTGGAGTCTTTACCTCGTGTCATTCACAGTGTCTGTAGTCATGTACCACATAATGCTGTTTTGGTCAATGATGGACCAGATATGATGGATTATAATAAAGCTGAAAATTTCCTATTGCCTAGTGATGTTGTAGCTGTCATAATGTGATAGCACCACACATTACTGGCATGCTTGTGGTGATGCTGATGTAAACAAACCTACTACATTGCCAGTCATGTAAAAGTATAGCACATACAATTATGTACAATGCCTATTATTTGACAATGATATTAAACAACTATGTTACTGGTTCATGTATTTACTATACTTTTTATTGTTAGTTTTGGAGGCACTCTTTCTACTTATAAAATAAGTTTGCAGTAAAACAGTATGTTATGTTATGCAGCAGCAGCTCATTTTTATGGGTCTCTTGACTGTATTATTTTCTCTTGTGCTTGATTTAATTTGATCTTATTTTGTTCATCATGGCCGCTAAGCATACAGAATCCACTACTATTGTTGCCAGTAAGAGGTTATGTTGAGTGGTTGACCTAGAAATGACATTGAAAGTGATTGAGGATGTGGAGGTGGGAAGTCAGTGATGGTTATTGCTCATCCGTCAGGCATGTCCCATCTATATAATAAAAGCCCAGCAACCATTAAGGTGGAATGACCAGAATGACCAGTCGACCAGTTGTTATGATGCGCATTGACCACCAGGGGTCAGACGCTCAATGCAGGAGGAGGGGAGGGAGGTGCAACGAGGCCTGGAGGTGCACGCTATGGCCCAGGGATCCCAGGAACTGCAAGCCCAGAGCTTGCTTTCCAATAAAAAATAAACTGAAAAAACAAACAAACAAAAAACGCCCCAATGCCGCCACCCTGGAAAGAATGGCTCCAGGAGGGAAAAGCTTCCCCAGACCCCACCTAGCCTAGCTGGTGCGTCGAAGGCTCGCAAGGACTCACCTGTGACATGCAGGAAGAGCAGCCCCTCTGACTCCAAAGCTGGTCGCACCAACAGCTGCTCCCCATCCAGCTCCATGGTGAACTCAGCGCTGCTGGGCTGCCTGTCTCTGACTTCCAGCTTCTGGCTTCCTGCCTGCCTCTTTGTATACTACATGTGTTTGGAGGCGTGGCTTCAGCCTCTCCGGCCAATAGCACCACAGCATAGCCAGAGAGTGGCAGGTCATGGCCAGCAGGGCTGGCTGGGCATTGATTTGGCCTCTGACTGACATCCATGTGCAGTTACACTGTGTTTATATTTGTAGGGAAGCAGGGCAGCCCACTTCTGCCACTCGCCTCACCTTCTAGGTTAAGAAAGGCTGGCTGATCTCTGTGTTTCTCCTCCTGTCCAGAATCAAAACCCCTTGGGGATGAATGATCCCAGCAATGGCCCCACCACACACTTGGTGTGACTGTCACAGACATTCCCAGTCATTACAGCCCATTCCTCAGCCCCCAGTGCCCTGCTCCACCCACTGCCACTCCTCACCTGTCACTTCCTGAAGACCACCTTATGTTATCCTATTTGAAATGTGAGCAAGATCTCAAATGCCCTCCTGTCAGTAGCTCCCTTGCCTTACCTTTCTTCCTCTAAAAACCTTGCATTTTAAAAATATATATTTGGTTGACTTCAGAGAGGGAAATAGAGATAGAAACATAAATGATGATAGAGAATCATTGATTGCCTGCCTCCTGCACATTCCAAAGTGGGGAACGAAACCTCCCCCGGTCCCTCCCCCCATCCCTCCCCTGGCCAGCAGGCCCCTGGTGGCGCTGCGGCACCAAGGGAAGGAGGAGGGGGGAGGCTGGGAACCGCAGGGTGGCGGGGTGCCGAGGGCAGTGTCAGAGTCTGGTGTCTGTTTCTTCTGCGCCCTGCCCAGTAGTAGTCACCTCCTCTCCCGACCCCGCCGGGGCCTTTGGGCCCCGATCAGCCTGGCCCTGATCGCCTGCCAGGTCTAGGTACCCCACCCGTGCATGAATTTCATGCACCAGGCCTCTAGTCCTATATAATAAAAGCCTAATATGCAAATCGACCCAATGGCGGAATGACCAGTGGTTGCTATGATGCACACTGACCACCAGGAGGCAGACACTCAATGCAGGAGCTGCCCCCAGCCTGCAGGCCTGAGGCCAGCCAAGGCGGTTGCCAATGGGGGCCCCCCAACTGCCCCACCAGTTGCCCCAAAGAGGGAGGCGACCTGCGGTGGGGGAGGGGCCGGTGAGTGGCCGGCTCCAGGCTGGCTATGGCCGGTGCCAGTGGGGGCTCCACAGATCAGCCTTGATTGCCAGCCAGGTCTAGGGACCCTACCCATGCATGAATTTTGTACATCGGGCCTCTAGTTCCACTATAAGAAGAACAAGAACAGTGTCCTGGCTGGTTTGGCTCAGTGGATAGAGTGTCGGCATGCAGACTGAGGGTCGTGGGTTCAATTCAGGTCAAGGGCACATACCTCAGTTGCAGACTCAATCCCTGGCCCCAGTCAGGGCACGTGTGGAAGGCAACCAATTGATGTGTCTCACATCGATGTTTATCTCTTTGTCTTTCCCTCTCCCTTCCACTCTCTGTAAAAATCAATGGAAAACTATCCTTGGGTGAGGATTAACAAAAAAAAAACCAAAAAACAAGAACAGTGACAGATGCTGTTAAATGATTTGCTTTATTGAAGGCAATGAGAATAACAAAAAATGTCAGATGTGGAGAAACTTCTAATGACCTGGATTAAAAGCTAGACATAGAAGTGTACTCCTCTCAGCACCATGATAATCATGGCCAAAGCAAAAAAAATCTGTGATGTTGAAAGAAAAGGCTGGACATGACTATCGCGTTGAATTTACCACTAGCTCTGGGTGGTTTAAACCAGTGGTTGCCAACCTTTCAGACCTCACGGACCACCAGTGGTCCACAGACCACTGGTTGGCGACTGCTGGTTTAAATGATTAAGAATGGTTATTCATTCCATAATGTGAAAGTGAGTGGTGAGTCTGCAAGTGCTGATGTGAAGGCAGCTGAAGAATTTTTGGAAATTCTAGATAAGCTGGTTGTGGAGGAAAGTGACTTTCCAGAGCAAATATTCAATATGGATGAAACCTCTCTGTTCTGGAAACGGATGCCTGAAAGGACTTTCATCCATAGGAGACCAAGTCAGTGCCAGGTTTCAAGGCTTTTAAGGACAGGATAACAGTCTTGCTCGGGGCAGTGTTGCAGGCTGCAAAGGGAAACCCTGGATGATCTGGCACAGTGAGAACCCCAGTGCCCTCAAGCATATCAGTAAGCACACACTGCAAGCATACTACAGGGGCACTAAGAAGTCATAGATGACCCAGCTCTTCTTACAAGACATCCTCCTGAATTGCTGTGCCAGTGAAATGGAGAGGTACTGTTTAGGGAATAACATACCTTTCAAGATTTTGCTTATTGGACCTGGGATCCAAACCTTTTGGCTGTATTACATAGCATGCCAGCAGCAGGACTCTCCATGTGAGCTCCCATGGGTGGGGAGTACCAGTCCCTCTGCTGGCATGATGGGAAGGAGCTGAGTCCAAGCTTTGTGGTTGACTAGAAGCTTTATTGATTGCCTTATACCAGTGGTTCTCAACCTTCTGGCCTTTTAAATACAGTTCCTCATGTTGTGACCCAACCATAAAATTATTTTCGTGGCTACTTCATAACTATAATGTTGCTACTGTTATGAATTGTAATGTAAATATCTGATATGCAGGATGGTCTTAGGCGACCCCTGTGAAAGGGTCGTTCTACCACCAAAGGGGTCGCGACCCACAGGTTGAGAACTGCTGCCTTATACCAAGCATTTCAAACTCAAAGGTAACAC